AAGAGTGTTCCTGGGACATGCTGAAAGGCCAAAGGTTAGAGCAAGGTGGATTTGAAGATACTAAAATAGAATAACTGGAATATAAAGGTTGACTGGGTAGTGGAAAGATAGGAGGTTGGAAAAGTTATAGGAGTTACCTTAAGGAGTTTCGATTACTTTTGCAAAAGAATGAATGATCAGATTTGTGTTTTTAAATCTTTCATTCAGCCTGCAATTTGGAGGATGAATTGAATGGGTGGCAGGGGACCAGTCAGAGAATTATTTAATAGCCTACTCAGGCCAGGTTTGACAAACTTTTTCTGTAAAAGGCCAGATAATGAATATTTTAGACATTGTGGGTCAGACAGTCACATCTCTTCAACTCTGCCATTGTAGCATGAAAATGGCCAAAGACAATATATAAATGAATGGACATGACTGTGTTCCAATAAAACTTTATTTACAAAAACAGGAGACAAGTCAGATTTCACCTGTAGGCTGCAGTTTGCTGATATCTGGCCTAGGGAAAAGTTGATGGTGACTTTGTCTAGGGTAGGCGTAGTGGGGATAGAGATTTACATTATTAATCCAGTGGGCTTGATGATTGAATGTGGGGAGGGACAGGGAGGAATCAGAGATGACCCCTGCTGTCTTCTTGCCTTTACAGTGTGCTTTATAAACATTTGCTCCTTAGTTCTTAGAGCATTCCTATTTTATAGTTAATCTTTGCCCAAGACTCTAAAGAATCCTTGTTAAATCAAGAATTGATGTCTTGTGTGAAGTTGAATCATTATAGGTGATGGGACACCATTCTTTCCATTATTACGTATAGAATAAAGAAAGAATCTATCGTATTTCTTTTTTTTTTTACAGTTTTGCTTTATTTATTTATTTATGGCTGTGTTAGGTCTTCGTTTCTGTGCGAGGGCTTTCTCTAGTTGTGGCAAGCGGGGGCCACTCTTCATCGCGGTGCGCGGGCCTCTCACTCTTGCGGCCTCTCTTGTTGCGGAGCACAGGCTCCAGACGCGCAGGCTCAGTAGTTGTGGCTCACGGGCCCAGTTGCTCCGTGGCATGTGGGATCTTCCCAGACCAGGGCTCGAACCCGTGTTCCCTGCATTAGCAGGCAGATTCTCAACCACTGCGCCACCAGGGAAGCCCCGTATTTCTTAAAGTACATGGACTATAGAAAATGAAAAGGTGCCAGGTAAATTGAAAAGGTCTCTGTATTCTTAGTTTGTGGAGTTTTTTTTCATTGCTTGTATTGTCAGTCTGCACCCTTTCCATTTTCTGAGCTCTTAGAAGTGTGGCCAGCATTGTCCAACTAGGGGTAGTGGTGGGGTAGATGGTTTCAGAATGTCATATTTTCAGTATTTTAGTTTTTTTTTCAACATGCTGGGGACGGGAAAATATCCCTAGATATCTTTCCCATGTTCTATCAATTATCATTGTTAGTCTTCATTTAAGTTTCAGTTAAATTAATAGTCTTTTCTTATAATCCTTCTTAGCCCAAGTGGATTTTTAAATACCACTAAGTAGAACATTTCCTTGGTCTAGGGTGCTTGCCTGTATTAAGTTGAGGCTGTGAGTTCCTTATTCATTGTAGTGTCGAGTTTGGTTATCAGATGGCGGGAATTTCTTGGTATATATATGAGAAAGCTATACATATTTGTTTGGAATAGATAAAGGAAGATGTCCAACATTTTAGCAAGGAAGAGAGATCTCTTTTGTCTAAAACCCTATTACAGGTTTGTTGTAGGTGGCTATTCAGTAAATACTTATTGAATGATATGATCTATTTGATGCCATTTTTAAGGTTTAAATAAGTAGCATTAACCAGCTGTTTCATGGAATTGGGATTTTGATTGGTATTGGGAAGAAGAACCATCCTGCCCCACCTTCATACGGGGAATAGTTTGAATACATGACAGCAAGTGTGACAGTTCTGGGAACCATTGTGCCAAGGTGAGGTGGCAGGTAGTGGAAGAGCCACTGAGACAGGAGCTTGAAGAGCCCCCAGAAGAGCTTTGGCAGCAGCTGGCACAGCCTCTGAAAAATGATTGTTGTAGGTTTCTAGAGTCTGAAATGTGGTATCAGGATGGGTTTGGAAGGTAAATTTTTGTACAGTGAAGGGTTTTTTCCTTTATCCAGTTTCCCAGGTGCAGTGAGTTCAAAACAAAATCCTTTGGTACAGTTTCTGATCCTCTTGTGCTTGGGAGAGGAGGAGAGGAGGGAAAGAAGCTACGCAAAGGCACCCCTTCCATCCCATCATCCACTGTTCTCAGAACCTGAAAGCTGGCAACCTGAGACAGTCCATTACATCAATAACAATTTTATTCCTTCGGAATCTTGTGAGAAGAGAGGAACATCGTAGTTTACACAGAATCAAATAATGTAACTGTTAATGTGGACACAGTTTTACCTATGTTTATCAGATGTGAGATTCTCCCTGTAGCACCCGTTGCCCAAGCCCGTATCTACAATTCTAAGAGTTAATGACTTTTACACAGTAGTCAGTACACTTGATGAATAAATGAATGAGTTCAGTTTTAATGATATGGGGACTGCTGTGGAGGTGAGAGGAATGTTTTGCAATCCATAAAAGGATTTCTTCTGCTGTTGCTTTTGAACTCGGTAAATGTTTCTTGAATATTTTTTTTCTTTGTGTTTTATAAGTATTGCTCCATTGCTGTTACACTCTGGTCTGCGTTTAGAAACCTGATGTTCTGGTTGTTTGCATTCTTTCAAAGTAAACATATTTTTTATAGCTTTTTGCAGAATACTTTCTTCTTATAGTGTGAGGAGTTATTTGGTTAAGTCTTGCTGTTCTTGATGGCTTTCTTTGGTTCTTGTGGGGGATTTTTGAGCCTTTAAATCTTCTTTCAATTCTGAAACCTTTTCTTCTACCTTTAATCATGAACTCTAAACTCTGATTCTCTCAAGGATTGCTGCTACAGGTTAAATTTCCATTCTCTTGGCTATCTTGTATGCTCAGATTCATTCCCCTTAGTTCTGTACTATGGTCCTTTGGAATTGACCTTTTCCAAATTGCCCTATTTTGCTGACTCAACACTGCTGATTTTTGCTTCTTTCTCTGTCCAAGAAGGTTCTTAATTGATCTGTTGCTATGTGATTGCATTTTGATTAATTTCTTATCTGGAGTTATTCTGTTCTGTGGTTTGATACATCTCTTTACGTTTTTCGAGATGTTTTTATTATGTTTTAGTTTGTTTTTAAATAGCTTTATTATGGACTAATTGACATACAGTAAACAATACATATATAAAGTATACAGTTTGATAAGTTGTGAAATATATATATACACATGAAACTATCTCCACAATCAAGATTGTGAACATATCCATCACTCCCAAAAGTTTCCTCATGTCCCTTGTAATCCCTCCCTCCCCCCCCTTTCCAACCCTTTCCTCAGGGAATCATTGCTCTGTTTTCTTTCACTATAGATTGGTTTGCGTTTTCTAGAGTTTTATAAAGATGGATGTACATATATTATGTACTCTTTTTTGTCTCGCTTTTTTCATAGCTTAGTTCTTTTGCAATTCATCCACGCTGTGTGTATCAATAGTTTGTTCCTTTTCTTGCTGAGTAGTACCCATTGTATGGACCTACACAATTTGTTTATCCATTCTCATGTTGATGGACATTTGGATTGTTTACAGTTTTTGGCTGTTACAGACAAGGTTGCTGTGTTCACACAACAACAAGCCCTTGTATGGACATATATTTCCTTTCCCTTGGGTAAATACCTAGGAGTGGGACCATATGTTCAGCTTTTTAAGATAGAAACTGCCAAACTATTTTCCAAAGTGATACTGTTTTACATTCCTACCAGGAGTATGAGAGTTCCAATTCTTCTGTATCTCCACCAACCCTTGGTATGGGCAGTCTTTTTAATTTTAGCCATCTAATAGGTTATTCTGGTATCTCATTGTGGTTTTAATTTGCATTTCCCTCATGAGTAATGACATTGAGCATCTTTTCATGTGCTTATTTATCATCTATATGTCTTTTTTCTGTGTTGGACCGTCTGTTCAAATCTTTTGTCCATTTAAAAAAAACAACAATTTGTTTTATTATTGTTGAGTTTTGAGCATTCCCTGTATAGTCTAGACACAAGTCCTTTATCAGATATATCCTTTACAAGTGTTTACTCTAAAGGCTTGGATTGTCTTTTCATGCTTCTGCTGGTGTCTTTTAAAGATGAAAACTTTTTAATTTTGAAGTCAAATTTATCCATTTTTTTCTTGTATGCATTGTACTTTTGGCATTCTGTTAAGAAATCTTGGCCTAACCCAAGGTTACAAATAATATCTTCTATGTTTTTTTCCTAGAAGTTTTATAATCTTAGTTTTACATGAACATCTATGATCTATTTTGAATTAATT